GCAGTGCCCAGGAGATGAGGCTGGGTCTGGCTTGAGGGACTATGGTGGCCAACACATGTGGCTAGGCCCTGCCCCGGAGCCCTGAGCAGCACAGCACTGGGAGCGGAAGATGTTTCATCCAGAGCTTTAGACCTGCCAGCTCAGGGAGGCAAATCTCCTGCACAGATCTCAGGCTTCATCAGGGGTCCTTGTCAGGAGGGCAGCAGCCCCTCGCTGACCAAGGCCAGAGTCTGTCCCAGCCACCGTGCCAGGCAGGCACAGCTCTGCACTGGTAACACCCACAGACGGACCCAGGTTGGTGATCTGAGCCATGGAGCACCACAGTGCCTGCTGTAGGCAGGCAGAAAGTAGACAGTGTCCTGGGGAACAGCACTGGGAAAACCCACCCCAGGGAGTGGTTTTTCCCTCTGCAAAGTTCACAGCTGGCCAGCAGCTCTCCAGCAGCCTGGACCCACCAGTCCAGCTGGAACAAGGCGTCCAGCCCATCCCACCCATCCCCGGAGCCCAGACAGTGACCCTGGGGTGCAGAGAACCCAAGGGGACAGTCAGAAGGGGGCAGTCAGAAAATAACACTACATCTTCTCACCAGCATATCCCTCCCCTGTGGTCCAAAAGAGAGTGGGGAAACGTGTTGGACCACCAGTGATGACGCCACTATGGGGTTCTCTGTATGGGACCTCAGTGTGCCTCTGAACCTACCCTGCACAGTGCACAGCCTTGACCTCGGCCAGGTGCTACTTGGAGCTCTCTCGCTGCTGGCAGACACCCTGCCAGCTGAGGCAGGGCTGGTATGGGCTCTGTCTGTGAGAGCTGGTCAGCTGCACTGCTACCACCTCTGGTGGCACAGGCACTTAGCCTCCTGCTCCGTCTGTGGTTCACTGCTGACTGCATACAGTCCTCCATCCTACCTGTCTGGGGCCAGGGGGCTCCTGCCGCACCTCGTTCTACACAGACCCCGCACCCCCTTCCCCAGTGACACCGTCACTCTGGGTGCTGAAGCGGCACACAGCACAACACAGTGGCCAACGTGGCAGGGAGGGAAGGAGAATAGCCATGAGGCTGCCCTTCAGGACTGGGGATGGGGACATCCCTGCCATGACCCTGTGGCTACTGGGGGTCTGAAATACGTGTTTGTGTGTGTCGCCGAGGAGCTGATGCCTCCCTGGGTTCCCTTACAGACACTCAGCCTGTTCCCAGTGGCCCTAATCCTCCCCGGAGAGGAGCTGCTGGGGGACTCTGGAGCCTTCCCGAGTGCTAGGGACAGGGAAGCAGTGGTTGGTGCTGCGGGATGTGCGTGTGGATGTACAGGTGTGTCGGGAGGAGTGTGTGCGCGCCGGATTGTGCTCGGTATCGGTGCTCTAGAGGTTGTGCGTGCCGGTGGATGCTCTGAGTGTGAGCTCGGGGGCATCGACATGTTCTGGGCGCGATCTGCATGCGGGAGGCGGGTATAACGGGTTGCAGGTATTCGAGCGCGTCTGCGTGTGAGTGTGAAAGCGAGTGCGAGAGAGGGGGAGCTGGACCAGGGCGGAGCGGCCGCTGGCACCAGGCTCTGCCCGAGCGGCACCGCGACCGTGCAGAGGCAGCGGGGAGAGAGGTGGGACCGGCAGCAGCAGCGGGAGCTGCCCTCAGCCCAGGTGGGATCCCGCTGGCTCGGGGGGAGCGAGGTCCGTCCGGGGGCGGAGCGGGCCGCTGGGGACCCCGCACCAGGCAGAGCCGCTGCCTCTGGAGGGGCAGGACGGGACGGTTGGGACGGGACGGGACGGGACGGGACGGACGGGCGGCGCGGCGAGCGACTCCGGGGTCCGGGCAGGCCCCCGGGGCACAAACATCCGTGCCCGCAGCTGGTCAGAGCAGTGCTCGGGCCGCTCGCTACTGCCCAGGTTGGGCACAGCGCGGGAGGTTGTCTGCCTGGAAGGTGCTGGCGGGCAGGGTGGGCTCCCGGAGCAGCTCGGGGGCTCTGCCCTGTGGCCCTGAAGAGCGAATGAGGCAGTTTTGCCGCACAAAGGGGGAGCAGAGGCACCCTCAGCCAGGACAGCATCAGAGCCAGCCCGGGAAGTTCCCACTGCAACAGAGAGTGCAGGCTGCCTGCTCCCCATCCTTCTCCTTACTCCTATCTGTCCATATCAAGAGGGCCTCTGTTGTCCCTCCCGACACTGCTACCTGTCCCTTTACACTGCCTCCTCCTGCCTTTCTTGACCTTCCCTGGCCTCAGAAGCTGGCTGTGCTGCCTCACAGCTTCCCTGGCATGACGTGCTGCCTGTCCCCACCAGGGCTCTGTGTTGGATTTTTTGTTAACCCCACCAACCAGTACTGGGAACCATTCTCCCATCCAATTACCTACCAAACCCTCATTAGAAAAATCAGGTTTCTTGAGTCCCAACTTTGCCACTGAATGGGTTCTCATCCCTGGGAGTATTACTTTCTCCATCATATTGCCTTTGCCCCTGCTAGTCCTGAGCAGCAGATGTGGGAGAGTAACCTGGCTGCCCATACTCTGCCTCATCCTTCCTCTCAAGCAGTTATCCCTCTCGCTGCTCCTTAAAGCTATTCATTACCAAGTAAAACTCTAGAGCACTGACATACACCTGTTCACAAAAAGGTATGAGAAGGCTGCAAAACACTTCCAAGAGACAACAGAGTCATTGGGGGGAGGGGCAGCTTCCCAAGAAGATCCTAAATAGGGACCTGGAGACATCCCACTCTGCCAGAAATGCTCTGAATGACTCACTTAGCATCTCAGTGCCCCAGTGCCAGCATCACAGTTCATGTATGTCACTTCAGAGACCCTGCTCTCACTCCATCTGTTCTATTGCTGCCCTGTCTGCAGGCAGGACTGTACACAGAGAGGTGAATCAGAGCTAACCCAGCAGAGATTTGTTTCTCTAATGCATCAATGAGTTCCCTGATCCAGCTTGTTGCAAAGCCATCTCTTCATGCTCACTGTGTCTCAATTCCCACCTGTGAAAGGGGACTGAAGCACTATTTTGCCTTCACGATTCTTACCATCTGGGTCATGAGCCACAAGCAACTAGGAAGAACCTCAATGTGGCAATAGTACAACCACCATCCTGCTAGCACATCCCAGCTGGCACACTGCTCCAGGCCATTGACTGCCCCCCAAAAGAATTCACAAAGCTTCCTGAACTCCCATTCCTATAGGCTTAAGAAATAAGCTTAGAGCTGAGGGGTGAATGGCAACAGAAATGGCTCCCTGACAGACAGAAACAGTTTTTCCAAGTAAAGGAAGAACTGCTCACTTAAACATCAAGGGATATCAAATTTGGACTGCAACCAGGCTATGTGATGTGCTATTACTCCAAAGTGATGGCACTGCAGGTCGTGCCAGGGAGGGGTGCCTTCCTTGCCGTTGTTGCCTTCCTTGATTTGCAAGTGGGGGTGCAGGTATTTCCCTGACATTTTGTTCTCTTTAGAGCAGTCTTTGAGGAGGGCTGACTAGCAGTTCATGTGCCTTGCAAGAGAGAGTGAAGAAAGAGGGTGAGCCTGGGAATGAGAAGGATGGGCAGGGAATGCAGAGTGAAGCAGCCGGAGACTCTAGCAGGCAACATAGACACTGTCTGGGTAGATGATAAGACAATGCTTGTTTCTAGCTATCACCTCTTCTGCAGCTTTGCTAATACCTTTCACAGCCTCATGGAAGAAGCGTCTTCAGTGCCACAGCCTTGCATGGCAAGTCATCCCAAGCACAGCCTAAGCCAGTGCAATCAAGTAGATACACCAGAGGCACTCTGAGTTGCTCTTCCCGGCACACAGGGAAGTTCCCTGGTCCCAGAGGAGTTAAGCAGTGTCTTGCACCAGACCTTCTGGCAGGCCCCCATACATCTATCTTTCCAGGTCCTTTCAGGCCCTGTGTAAGCTGCCCTGCTTCCCACACATCCATATTGCATGGAGTACTCTCCTCTGTGTAGCTGACACTGCCATTAGAATTTGCTTTGTCCATACGCTGAGGCAGATCTAGCAGAAATAAGTAGTATGCACTTCAGTGCTGGCCATCCCAGCTTTCCAGAGAAAAGCTCATCCCTCTGCCACATAGGCAGCATTCATGGCGCTGTTGATTACTATAAAACAGAAGAGTCCAAGCCAGACATAAAATTTGTGTGTTGCACCTGCCACAAGGTGAATTCACATTCAGCAAACTTGAGGTCATCCCTGTGAAACTCCCTCTGTTTCAGGATGGGGTGGGGCTATCAGAGCAATCCCATGGTCATGAATGAGGGGCAGCGATCTTTTGGGTCCCGGGGAGCAGAACCAGCTCCCAGGCAGCAGTAAAAAGATTCTGAGGCTTTATGATGCTTTGGGTTTGCTTTCATGGACATCATGGACATCATCCTGTGGGAATGGCCTCCTTACAGTGTTCCTGCTTCAGGCACTGGCACTGCTGGTGCTCCCTGGGGAGCATTCACTAATTCCCAAGCCTGAAAAAGTGCACAAGCTACAGGCTTGGTTCTTGCACAGTCTCTGCAATTTCCACACTCATGGTGGCCAGACTCTGTTAACCACAGCATACCCCTACAAACATTGCACAGGGGGAAGAACCCAGGCCATGTTTTGTTCAAGAGAAGCTGTGTGTGGAATATCTGCCCAGCTTCAAAGCTCAGAAATATGCAGACAGACTTCTATGCCTGTGACAGAAAAACTAGGGCTTCCAGATACAACTTTGCCTTCTGGTTGCAGCCCAAATGCTTATTTTGGGGGCAGGGGAATGATATGAAAAGCCAAAATCCTTGGGAGAGCTGCCCTGTGAAACATAGAAAGGGAATATGTATTTGGGTCACTCAAACCAAAGGAGAAGGGGTCCCATTAGAGCTATCTTCAGAAAGTTCCCACCTGGGCACAACATAGGAGCTGCAAAATAGCTGTCAAGCTCTCACTGCCAAAAGCATTTAGAGCTCCATGCCTAATATGCAAAGTTTATTCTAAGAGGTACCAAAAGAGCTGAGAGCAGGAGAGGGATAAAAATCTGCATGTCGGTAGCAGGAGAGCAACATCTTGACTTGTCCAGATCACTGGTTTGGAGCTGGAGCCTCACTGGTGGAAAGAACATCACACCCCTCCTGCCATCAGCTGGACCAGTTGGGAGGCAGAGATCTTGGCTTCATTCTCCCACAGAGGAGAAAGCTGGGGGCAGATGCCATCCTCCTCTCTCCCCTAAACCTCACATCCAGCATCATCAGTCCAAGACAGCATCTGAACATGGGCTGTGGCTTCATTTCAAGGACAGAACAGGGAAGAAGGACACCTCTTGCCCCCAACCAAGTCTACCTGTCCTCCAGGCAGCAGTGTCCAGAGGAATCAGCAATAAAGGATGTGGGCCACAAAGCTGAGAACAGGGCTCTGTGTCTCCAGTGAGCTGGTGGGCCAAACTTACAGGCTAGGCAATGTTTCTCCAGTCTCTCACATCTTTCCCTGTGTTGTGCCAGGCTCCTGCGTCTCACCACGACACAGAATGACGGAGTATGAGGACTTCATGAACTTGGCTGGCTACTGGAACTCCTCTGACAATTGCCAGTTCAGCCCTGACAGGGTTATTGTCCCTGTGGTCTTCTCCCTCATCTTCCTCCTGGGCACAGTGGGCAACAGCCTGGTGCTGGCTGTGCTGCTGCGCAGTGGGCAGGTGGGCCACAACACTACCAACCTCTTCATCCTCAACCTCAGCCTGGCTGACTTCTTCTTCATCGTCTTCTGCGTGCCCTTCCAGGCTACCATCTACTCCCTTGAGGGATGGGTCTTTGGCTCCTTCATCTGCAAGGCTGTCCATTTCTTCATCTACCTCACCATGTACGCTAGCAGCTTTACTCTGGCCGCTGTCTCTGTGGACAGGTAATAATCTACAGGTACCCTTGGGCTGCAGAAGGAAAGCGGTCTGAGTGGGCAGAGGGCACAGGACGTGCATGGCCCACCGCCACTAGGCAGATGATTCAAGCCCCAGTGGTATCTATCCATGCCAAAGGTAGTTTGGGGACCAGTTGTGTCTTCATTGCCCTAATGACTTGCAAGGAGCATTTCCAGATCTCTCAAGTGCAAATCTTTCTGCAGGAAAGATCTCCCCAAGGAGAGACTTGAGAGCACTTGAGACCCAAGATCAGCTCCCCACTGTGCCCCAGACTCCCACAGAGAGTCACCAACTCTGCCTTAGAGGTGCCACTCAGAGAGTAACAACTGTCCCTGAGCCACCATTTCAGAAAAGCATCACATGCAGCAGCAAGGTCAGCAGGGCAGCACAGCAGGAGCCATATAAATAGGCAAGAGAGACCCCAGTCCTGCAGTAAACACCTCTCATTTCTCAGGGACTGCCAGCCCAGTAAAAAAACTTGTCACCGAGCAATTCCTGTCCCCGCCCTGCCCCCAGCCCTTCTGCACTCTGCGCAGAAAGGCACCTGCATCACAAGCCTAGTCCCTTCTTGGAGGTCACCCAGGACATGCTGGTCCCTGACTGGTGTCACCTACATTGTTCCTAAGGGTTCTGTAAGGCAACTGTGCCAGCTGCCCTTCTGACTAAGCCTACACTTCTGGTCCAGGTTGAAGAAGAGGTCCCCACTAGGATAAGCTTTAGCCCTGACTGCACTAGGGATATATCCCGGCCCATGTTGCTCCCTGTGCTTGCTTTCAAGGTACCAAAAGACAGGGACAGATAGCCCTCTGCAATGAGAGGTCCACAGCCCTGCAGGCAGAAGGAAACTTCAGCCCATTACCCAGTGAAGTTACCTCGGGTCTTAAATCTTCAGTTCAGACCTCCTTCTGCTGGATAGGTTCTGCTGAGCAGTGGATATCTGCCTTGTCTCCACAGAAAGATCTCTGTGCTCAAGCTCAGGGACAAAACCCACTCCATCATACCTGGAGGAGGCAGCCAGCTATGGCCAGAAAGAGATGCATCCTTGCTAGAAAGAGAAAAGCTGCTTTACCCAGGACTGTATGTCAAAGAGGGTGTGAGATAACATGTAGGGTCACTCTCTTGTCCCAGGAATTTATGTGACCAGGCAGAGCTTGGCTGAAACCTCAGTGCTGGCTGCTTTTCTCTCCTGCCCAGGTACCTGGCTATCCGCTATCCGCTGCGCTCCCGGGAGCTGCGGACCCCCCACAGTGCAGTGGCAGCCATGGCTGTGATCTGGGGTCTCTCTGTGGTCTTTGCTGGGCCCTACCTAAGCTACTATGACCTGATTGAGTGGGAGTCCAGCTACATTTGCATGCCTGGCTGGGAGGAGTGGAGACGCAAGGTCATGGATACCAGCACATTTGCCTTCGGCTACATCATCCCAGTGCTGGTCATCAGCCTCTCCTACACCAGAACCATCAAGTACCTGTGGACAGCAGTGGACCCTCTAGAGGACATAGCAGAGTCCAGGAAGGCCAAGTGGAAGGTAACCAAGATGGTCATCATTGTAACAATTCTTTACTGCCTGTGCTGGCTGCCCTACCATGTAATCATCCTCCGATACCTCTATGGAGACTTCCCCTTCAACCAGGTCACCTACGCCTTCCGCCTACTCTCCCACTGCATGGCCTACGCCAACTCCTGCCTCAACCCCATCATCTACGCCCTAGTGTCCAAGCACTTCCGCAAGGGCTTCAAGAAGGTTTTCAGCTGCCTCTTGAGAAAAAAGCACCACAATAAGGTACATGTGGTGCATAATGCCCACGTTGTGCCTGGATTTGGGGCAGCTTCCACTGAAGTGTCCCAGATGCACGAGGAGAATAATAGGTATGAGATGGACCCAGCCTCCGTGGCAGTCCCCTCTGGTTTCTCCAAGCCCCTTCATATTTCTTAGTGGCCAAGCTCCATCTGCCAGCTCAGCTCTGTCACCAGCTTCAGGACACTCTTTCCCACTGGGTGAGAGGGGATGCTAGAAAGGCAAGCCAGAAACTGCTAAACACTGCTTCTGCCCTTGTCATTCCTTCCCATTCCGTGCACCAACTGTTCTCCTGAACCATCTCCCCACCACATGCTGAATGCGAGGAAAGGAACTGACCCAGGATCACCCCTGATCCTCAAACCACCTGGATTCCAGGGACTAAAGCTCCAGCTCCTCTCTGGGCTCTCATCCAGCAGAACTACACTGCTCCATGGCCTGACTGCACTGGGTCCTGTGCACAAGGGCAGCAGTTCATGATAGAGTCAAGGCTCAGGGGAGAAACTCATGTTGTTTTAATTGTGTGCATTTAGCTGTTTCTGCTTTAAAATCATCTCTCTCTGGGAATGTTTTCTCATTAGAATGTTCAGAGAAAAGACACAAGTGGCCAGATTTAAAACAGTGCTACAGAGTCTCTTCTGCCTCCCACTGCCCCATCTGGTTCCCACAGCAGGAATGGCAAGGGAAAAGGGCAGTGCAAAGGTGGTGTGGGAAGCAGCTGGCACAGCCCGTGGATGGCTGCAAGGATGGCTTTGGTGCTGGTCTTTTTGTGCTGCTCTCAGTAACTGGGTCCTCCTTTGGGACGTGGGGCAGGCCAGGGGCTCTCTGTGAGGGAAGGATTGTTGCTGCTGTACTAAAGAAATCTTTCTAGATTCTAGATAACCCATAGCAAATAAATTTACTTCTCTCATTCAGGCAATAGTGGGGCCTGCAGTGGTAACCTGGGGTGCATTGACACTGCCAGACTTGGCTCAGGAGCAAACCCAGGAGAGGAAACCTCGGGCTCAAGAGAAGGGGAAGCAGTTGCTGCCTAAGGCTGATCCTTTAGTCCCACTGAGCCCCTACTAATGAAACAGGAGCTTCTGTTTCTGTTTTGAGCAGTCTGGTGGGCTGTAAAAGGCCTTGGCAGGAGATGGGGCTCTCTGGGGCTCCTGATAGGTGTCCTGTGTGGCATCACCATGTGATGTGCCTGCATCAAGACCAATGTCACTCATGCAGAGCAGGCATTTCTCCCCTGGCTGATCACCAAGGATTGCTGTTTCTAGTTCAGGATCTGGGGTCATGAGTCGGTACGAGTTTTCCAGGAAACAATTCCAGCAGTCCCTTTGCATCCCATCCTTCATTAGTGTTAGTGAAGTTCTGCAGCTACCATGCTTGTGCAGGTAACCACTCTTCTGCAGCCAGCCACACAGTCTCCATCTGCTGCAGCTCATCAGCAAACACCTTCTCTGCCTCACTTTCACCCTTAAGGAATCAAGCTTGATTTTTCTCTGCTTGAATCAGATTTATAGCTGTGGTCTTTAGCAAAGCTCTAGTTACTGCTTGGGCTTTCTTACCCAAACTCTTCTCCTGGGGAAAAAAAAAAAAAAAAAGAGAATTTTCTGTGCAGGAGTCACCAAGCAAGAACTTAGCAAATGGGGATGCATCTGCCATTGCTCGTTGGTCCTGCTGGCAAAGGCACAAACAGTTGTACAGGAAAGATGAATGTTGAGAGGCATTTTAGATTTTTTGCTCTCTGTAGGAAGGTGACTGCAGATTTTCCAGGGAATTATCTGAATTTGTTCTCCTGTGGGATTCACTCCATCACTGCATCCCCCAGAGGAAAACACTGTGTCCCTCAGTCTCATTCACCTAAGCCTGTTATCTGGGTCAATCCTGAGGCCAGCACACTGAGTTAAACTGCTCAGGGCAATTTCAGACACTTTGCTTTTAAGCTGGAGCTGGAAGTTACCTGAGAGTTGATGGGAGGAGACAAAGTGGGACAGATGGAGTTGGGGCCTGGGGTATCATCCCTGCCTGGGAAGCATACAACCTCTACTCACCCTGCATACAGACAGGAGACCTTCATCTGCACATGCTCAAATAGAGGAAAAGCTTTTCCTCTCAGAATAAAATCCACATTGGCATGAAAAGATCAAAAGTAAGCATTTCAAAAGAGATGGCAGCAAGATGGAGAAGAAGCATCAGGAAATAACACCTAAGTCTTCTTAAACACAGAAAAGCTCTCCAAACTGACTGAAAATTCAGCTTGCAGCACAAGAAGAGTTCCTGGTGTGCTCAGACCAGGAGAGACTTTCAAATGGGATTTGGATGGAGGAGTTCCACCTAAAGTAACTGCATTTGTTCCCATCGAAGTAACCCTTGGTTACACACAGTTTTCCTGGGGAGCTCTGGAAATTACAAGGAAGAGGTGCCCCAGGTACCTTGGTGCATGGCTTGCTTGCTTCTGTTGTCTTGCTAACGAGAACCACACAAGCAAGTATGGCCAAATGTGAAGATTTTAATAGATTTTAATACCTACACAAGTTTTGTGTAGGTATCACCTACAGCTCCTGTGACAGAGGCTCAGTGCTGGGCTTACCGGTGGTCTTGCACCTACTGAGTGGCTGCCATTCCTCTGTTCCTGAGGTACCTGCTCCCCCTGGAGAAAACCAGATGCTTCAGCTCCTCTTTACCAGGGAAGGGACCCTTGCCAGGGGCCAGGGGCAAGCAGGACGCAGCTGGGAAGCTTGCTATCATCAGGTTTGGTGCCAGTGCTCTGTAATCACCTATTTCACAGAGTACCCCCAAATTCCACCCCCATGTTTGGAGTGATTGCAGTAAGGTGAGCTCCATAAGGACAGGTTTGATTACCAGCAGGCAGGCACTTACCTGTTGGCTCAGCAACCAGAACTGAATCAGACACTGACTCAAAAGAGGAAGGGGATGCTTCCTTTCTCAGGGCATCCCACGCAAAGACTTAAACTCTGCCAGCCGCTGTGGCTCAACCTACCTCTCCAGAGAACAAGTCACTCACAAGCAGAATGAGGTCCCATCCTGAGCCACCAGGGCCACCAGGCAGCTCCACATAGGGCTGTGTCTGAGTGCTAGCTATGGGGCAAATCCCATATGGGGCTGCAGGTCCCAGGGGTCTGGGTGCCAGCAACCACAGAGACCTATCCTGGGCACGGCAGGGATGACCAGCAAACCTCAGGTCAGAGTAGCCAGCAAGTAGGACAGACAGAACTGTGAAAGGGCAGTTCCAAGCATCAAGGGCTAAAGTCAAAGTTACAAATCAGTATTTGAAGGTGCCAGCAAAGGTGCCCCCGCTTGTCTGTGCTCGTCTGTCTGCAGCTGGGGATATCTGTGCATAGTTGTGCTCATTCCTGTGCAGATTCACCTTGGTTTTCCAACTATAATTTCTACTTGTTTTCTGGTCATTCAGTGTTTTTCTTTAAGGAACAAAAGATACATGGGGCCTAATGGAAGTCTGAGGAACTTTTGTCAGCAGAGAGGTTTTTCTCTTAGAATAAAATCCCTCCTCAAAGTGCCTCTGTGCTAGAACTTCTGGGATCAGAAGACCAGCAATCTGAAATTGCAGAGAAACAGCCTCAGCTCTGCCAAACCTGCCCAGCACAGCCTCCACCACCTCCAGCCAGGACTCCTAGCCCAGGGCAGCCACCATAAGTGCCCATGTATTCATCGGTTCTCTCTCTCTGCCTACATATCTCTCTCTTTGGTTTGAAGGATCAAACCAATCAGTCAAGTCCCAGACTTGACTCTGCTGCCAGGATGACACTTCGTGGTCTGGCCCAAGTGTGTCACTGCCAGGAGAGATCATGTTACCACCTTTCAGGGGGTGTTTGGACCACGTCTTTGGTCCTCCCATGTCATTCCCACATTAGCAGAGGGAGAATTATCCTTCTGTCACACAAGTACTCTATGAGAACATTCCTCTCCCAAAGAACCAAAGTTTTTTGCAATCACAATTCAGTTCCCACCAGAAAAGGATGTGCAGAAAGGTGACCATAGTAACGTGGGATCTGTACAACACTCAGTGGTGGGTGCTAATGGTCTCTTACCACCCACCTTGCACGCTTAGGTTAATTCACACTTGAACTGCAGTAGCTCAATCATGAGCATGCTCAGATAAAGAAATGTCAAAAAACATGTTAATAGCCATTAGAGACAAAAAAGGACAGAAATTGGTTAGGAAGGGAATAAACCAGGAGAATAACAAGCTCCAAGATTTAAAATGCTGTACTTAATGGTGAAAAACAGGTCATGAGTCACTTTATGTATGACTGTTTGCTGACTGATTTTCACTTGTTTTTGTTTTTCTTTCTAAAGATGACAGAGAGCAAGATTAGGCAGAACATCTGAAGTGAAAAGAGCTCCAAGAAGCACCTCTGTTCTGGGAATCCTGATAGAAATTAAACTAGATGCCTGGCCAAAACCATGGGGAAGTGCCAGCAAAGGCCTGGCACAAAGGGTAGCCCCCTGTGCATGGTATCCCAAGGGGTAACACAACCAAGCTGGTTATAACAGGGCTTGACCAGCTTTCTTGTTTGTATTGAATAAGCCACCACTGGGGCAGGTGGCTTAGTGTACCTGAGCTGCAGTCAGAACCACAAGGAGCAAAGCCCTGTTGGCTCCACATGCCTGGGCCACTGACAGTTGTTCTTAAAACCTTCCCATGAAGGGCTCCTCCAGCTTTGCCATCACTTTTTTTTTTTTTTCTAGTGCCTAATCTGTTCCTCAGCAAACCTAAGCCCCTGGACTTCATCTCACTGACAGAAGGGGGAGAAAAGCTATTGCTGCATCACTGCAGCAATGACTGCTCTACACGAGAACTTCAGTCTCAAAAGAATGAGGTGGACAGAAGCAGAAAAACTCCAGTTCAATCATTCTTCCCTCACAGATTATTTTTTAGGCTTTTGCTTCTACTACCTAAAAAACATCCTGCCATGAGATTTTAATGATACTCATCAAACAGGCATTACACTTTTTCTTTACAATGCCACAGCATCTGTCCAGTCACATCTGTCCTTGGCTCATGCAGACAGTTAAAATAATTTTCTACATCCACTCCAAAAGGACATTCTGCCGTAAATGTTCTTGTCCAAGGACCATCATCCACTTCCACCCAGGTACCAGACACCAGTTACAGAGAAGCTTCTACCAGTGACCTCTGAGATGCAGGGGTCTCTCCCATTCCATGCTGGGAGAACCTTGACTCGCCCTCTCCCTCCATAGCAGGCAGCTTTCTCTACACTGGGAAGAGCTAGGAGTTACATTCTGGCAAGGTCTTTTAAGGTGAGGAGGGAAGAGGTGGGGAAGGGAGAGAGAGGGAGAGACTGAAAGGAAATAAATGTAACTGTGGTGAAAAGTCACCGCATTTCATCT